AGGAGGAGGAGGAGGAGGAGGAGGAGGAGGAATGGGGGGTAAATTTAGGGGTTCTGTTTTAGGTGATTGGGAGAAAGTGGCACCTTAATGTAGGCCTTATATGCACATCAGAAGGAGGGGCTGGCTGCCTTTTGTTGCTTTGTTTGATTTTGGGGAGGGGAAGACAAAATAAAAAGGGTGTGTGTGTCTATAATGAAAGGCAAAGAGAATCTGTGTCCTTTGTGGTCTTTCAGCAGGAAATAGACAATGCTGGCCGGGATATTGAGATACTTTCTTGCTTTAAAGTCTGGGGAGGTGGGTGGGCCGCTTGGTCTCAGGTTCCTTTCTGGCTCCCAGATGGAGCTGGGCTCGATACGCCGACGTGTGGGATGCATGGCTTCTTGAAAGACAGACTTTTGAGCATTGGTTTTGATTTACTTAAAACATTGAATTTTATTAATCAACTAAATATTTTCAGGACCACCAAAGAATCGGGGCTCTCTGCTTATGTAGCAGATCGTGTCTGTTTGCTAAACATCTCGTGTCTTTTACTGCTTTTCTTTTCTTTTTTTAAAAAATATTTTTTATTTCAGAGAGGAAGGGAGAGGGAGAGAAACACCAGTGATGAGAGAGAATCATGGATCAGCTGCCTCCTGCACACCCCACACTGGGGATCGAGCCCGCAACCCTGGGCATGTGCCCTGACCGGGAATCGAACCCTGACCTCCTGGTTCATAGGTCGACACTCAACCACTGAGCCACGTCAGCCGAGCTCATCAATCTGTTTCGTACCAAAGCCACTCGTCTACTGTCTGCGTGGCCCACTCGCCTTCCATCCTGCGGTTGACGAAGGCGTTAACCCACGCCGCCTGAGAATGTTCCGTGGGAGGGAATGGAGCCTCCCCAGTGCATTCCTGGAGTCTTGTTTTCACTGTCTCGGCTTCCAAGCGGGTTGTCATTAATTGACTCACTCCCAGGAGGAGGTCACAGAATCGCAGACCTCGGTGCCGGGAGGTTCCTGGATACCATCGAACCGGCTGCTTGGCTTTGAAGGCCAAACCCATTGTGCAGAAGCCGCAGCGGAAGCCTGAGGTGGCCCCGCTGCTTGCCCCGGGTCACGAAACGTCCTGACCTGGAGAGGATTTTTACAAGAATGTCCTGGAGCCACACGGATGGCAGTGCGGGAAGCAAGGTCTGAAATGCTGCAGGGAAAGACAGCTGTGCGTTCGGAGTTACGGAGGGAAGGGAGGCAGGTCCCAGGAGGGTGGGAGAAAGCGAGGCGGGCTGGAGTTCCAGGATAGTTACAGTAACCTCTGTGCTCTCTGGACGGTGGTTTTTCACTTATTTCAAAGGCACGTTGGCCTAGAGGCACAAGAAGAAGGGACAGGGCTTGCTTGAGGCAGAGAGAAACCTTTTACTAAAAACGTTCCGTGTCTGGGACGTGACTACCCTCCAGGACCTGCCCAGGTGAGAATTTATGATCAGATCAGCTCGGGCGGCTACTTTCCATGGAACCTCCTTTTCACCTACCATGTGATGTGTAAATTAAACACGATCATATATAATAGTCTGAAATACATACAGCGGCCAGAATGGCGATGTGATGCGATAGAATAGAAATCGTGCGGGTAAGACCATCTAATGTCAGGAAAGAACTTCAGAAGCCGTCGAATTCAGCAGCTCATTTGGTAGATACGGATGTGGAGGCCCATCAGGCAGAGACGCCAGCCCAGGGACACGAGGCACCCAGGGGGGACCAGACCCCTTACTTCCCAGTTTCCCTCCGGGTTCTCTGTGACGGGTGTGGGGCCGGGCGCTTCTTAGACGTGCAGTCTCTTCCCCGGGGGCCAGCGTCCCTGCGACCTATTGCACCGGGAGGGCTCCGGCAAAACTCGGCCGGTGCTTTGATCTTAGGTCAGTGTTCGTTGAGCAATTTCGGCTTTTTTGAAACTTGACTGTTCCGAGTCTCAGCCAGGTATAAGAGCTTTATTGTCTGACCGGAGGGATGCTGATAATCGCCCGGTGATGGGGAGACTATTGGGCGGTGTGTGTGGCCCAGAGGGCCGGGCGGGTGAATGTCAGCCACGATTTCCATGTACACGCGCCTACACGGGTGTCACGCCCCTCTGCGTCGGAGGCCACTGCGGCTCAGCCATTGTCGCACTGGAATGATACACTGGCTTGTCGTGTCCTTGGGTGGTGAGCGCCTTGTGGGTAAGGGAAGGGCGGTCAGCCGGCTTTCGGTAAAGACCCCGCATGAGTGTGTGAGTGAGCGAGTGAGCGAGGGAGCGAGGGAGCGAGGGAGCGAGGGAGCGAGGGAGCGAGGGAGCGAGGGAGCGAGCAGACAAACGTCAGCAGGGCTGGGAAGACACTGAAGAGTTGGCGTGTCTTGTTTTTCATCTATTTATAAAGCAGTTAATTTTTTTTTGTATTGTCAACATTCTTGGATTAATATGTTAACTGGCCCTTGAAACCTATACACTTTTACTAACAATGTCACCCAGTAAATTCAATAACAAATATGCTGACTGGCACTGCCTTGCTCAGTTGGTGGGTGTACATTTTGTTGAATGAATGAGTGTTGTTTGGAATGTAGCTCGTCCTTTGGCTGAGGAGTTGAACATTTTCAGACGAAACTTCTGGGATGGGAAATAAGGTACCACCCTGCTCTAAGCAGTGATTCCTCCGGGAATGGAACCACTTAGACTAGAGTTTGTGAAAAACAGCAACACAACATCAGCTAGGTAAGGGCCGTCTGTTCACTCGTTCATTCACGTGGAAGGGAAGTGAGCACAAGGAGCAGGAGGGAGAACTCTTCGTCTTGGGGTTATAATTAGGAGCGTCACCAATGACCATTTCAGGATTTCACGTGCTTGCAGGGCCTCTGCCCCTCCAGCCAATGATCTTTGTTCCCAGGTTAGACTGATAGACAAGCACCTCCCCTGCATCACCCTGACTTCACTGCGCATGTGCCCACCTCCCCCTTTGCTGGACCCCTTCCCCAGTGATCTGTGGGGAGTGGCCCGGTGGCTCCCTGGGGAGTGTGATGTTGCAGCTTCCTGGTGAAGCTGCCCAGATGGCCATGCTGATCATGTCTGGCCTCCCCTTTGCCCTCTTCCTATTATTAATATTAGCTAGTTTTAAAAAATATATTTTTAAAAATTGATTTCAGAGAGGAAGGAAGGAGAGAAAGAGAGAGAAAAACATCAATGATGAAAGAAAATCATCAATTGGCTGCCTCCTGCACGCCCCCTAATGGGGATGGAGCCCGAAACCCAAGTGTGTGAACTGACGGGGAATTGAACTGCGACCTCCTGGTTCATAGGTCGATGCTCAACCGCTGAGCCACGCTGGCTGGGCTGGCTAGCTTTTGGTGCTGCTCACACAGGTGGTGGGAGCACCTGTAGGTGCGAGGCTGGGCAGGGAGTCGAAGATGGAAAAGGCGGGTGCTGGCGTCAGGTTAGGAGCCGTTTTCCTCGGGGTTATGGGTGATTGCGGACTGATGACCGTGTCCTGGAGATGTCAGGGGGTGGAGAGAGGGCGATGAGCCGGTGAGTCACACATTACAGAGGCCGGGGAGAATGAACAGAGGCCACTGGATGAATGGAGGGCAAGGTTTGCGTGGAGTATTTGGAATTGGAACCCGGAGCCCACAAGCTTTGTGACGCAGTAGATGATAAAGAAATACACCCGGCGGCAAGTGGAGGCCACATGCGAGTTGTGTTCGTGGGGTTCATTGCCTGGCAGGTGAAGGTCCTGGCAGGTTAGAGAGAAAGGGAGGCGGACGCAGAGCTGCCCAGTTGGCTCCCTAACGCGACACTGGTTGTAGTACCCGAGTGCCTGTGCGCTGAAACCGCTAGTCCTTTGGATTTCTATGAATCCGTTATAAACTCACCCTATTCCTGAAGATAACTGAAATTCGGTTGCAGCTTTAATGAAAAGAAAATGAGCACACGTGTGGTTGACAATCACAAGTGTATTAACTCCCGTTTTTGTCTTAACCCCAGTTTCTATGCAGATTTCGGACCTCTGAACTTGGCGATGGTGTACAGATACTGCTGTAAGCTGAACAAGAAACTGAAAGTGAGTATCGTGGTGCCGTCTCTCCTGGTCTCAACACCCTGAACTGTGAGCTCTGACCGACGGGGTGCGGCGCGCACCAGTCGGGCGGTGATCTTGGTCTTTGGAAGGTTATGGGAGAAGCTCCCGCAGAAGTTGAAATGGGTCCTCCCGGGTCCCCCTGAAGGACGTGCGACCTCTTTCATGTGTCAGGATGAATTGGCACCGGAGCTGAAGGAAGTCACTGGGCAGGGATCTGAGAAAGGAAGCACCCAGCCTTTCGGTGTCGTTCTGAGCCCATCCTGTTCGCTCCCAGGTGGATGCTCCAAGCCCTCACGTCTGGGCTACCCTGGGTGCCCGGGGACGGGTGGAGGGGCTCAGCGTTGCTCGGGAGAGCTCTGGAGCCTACGTTTTCCTGTCCAACCAGGAGTTCAATTTCTCCTGAATGTCGTCTCGGTAGAGTTAACAGCCAAGTAAGAGTGATGAACTGGCAATCATCACGGAATTTGGGTCATATAGTCAACATTGATCTATATTTTTTATATATTTTTATTGATGTCAGTGAGGAAGGGAGAGAGGGAGAGAGAGTGAACCATGAATGATGAGAGAGAATCATGGATCGGCTGCCTCCTGCACTCCTTCTACTGGGGACAGAGCCTGCCACCTGGGCATGTTTCCTGACTGGGAATAGAATCGGTGACCTTTTGGTGCACGGGATGGTGCTCAACCCACTGAGCTACACCAGCCAGGGCTTTTGTTATTTGTTGTGTGTGTATGTTAGTAGGCATTTTATTCCCAATGGCCTTCATTTTAATTATGTTGACTAGAATAGAAAATTCTCTATCCAACATCGGCTTAGATTAAAAAACTAAAAACTAGAAACCACCATCACAAACAAAACCACCTCCCACCCCCTCGTTTCTTATTTTAAACTAGACATTAAAAAGTGTAAGTACAAGAGTTAAGTAGTAATGGGTTATAGTTTGCTATTTCTGGTCAATAGTTACCATAATGAGGGAAATAGAAGAGGGAAAATTTATTAAAATGAGAACAATTTGTAAATCTGTGTATATTACTTAATGTAAAAATGTCATCGATGATTGGTAGGCTAGACCAGCCATTATTAATCTGATATTCCAAGGGATTCAAAAACTCCTGAAATTTAAGCTAAGTGTTGCGTGCATTTACATTTTTCTTCAGAGAGGATTCACAGCTTTCCAGCAGGTTCTGAAAGGGATTGTTTGCACAGACATTGATTTCAGAGAGAGAACGGGAGAGGGAGAGAGAGATAGAAACATCAATGATGACAGAGAATCATTGACTGGCTGCTTCCTGCATGCCCCACACTGGGGATCAAGCCCACAACCCGGGAATTGAACCATGACCCCCTGGTTCATAGGTCAATGCTCAACCCCTGAGCCACACCAGCCGGGCAGAAGTGGTATTTTAAAAAACAGAACCTCCTTCAAACTTAGTCATTTAAGAAAATCTTTGTTACCGATTCAATAATCTGAAAGTTTTATAAACATGATATGGCTCAACCAGCTTTTTCTAAAATAGTTAATACAGTTTTAACTATTGATTTCACTTTTCCCCGGGGAAAAAGAAAACCCTAGCTGGGGGTGGAGGGGAAATCTAAGAGTATTACTGAAAAAAGGGGACATTCTCGGGCAGTGATTTAAAAAACACACTGAAAACCTGGTCTGATGACCCCACAGGCCAATTACAATGCTCCTGAGGACTGTTTTTAAAGGTCTGAAAGCATATTGACAGAAATGTAATGGTAAATGTACAAAAGAGCCCAGGAGCCCTCTCAGGGTGGAATGAGGAGGGGCGGGCCGGTGAAACGGGCGATTGTGCTGAAGCACAGAGGTACCTGGCAGATGGCGGGCCCGGCGCATGTCCCCGATGCTGAGTGAATCAGCGCCGTAATCCTAGCTGGGAGCCGGGCCCCGCCCCCGGATCGGGTGCTTGCACACAAAAGCCCTTTTGATATAATGATCAGACCACCCTCTCAGTACAACCACAGAAAACATGTTGAGATTTCTTCACCAGGTTATCTTCTGCCTCAGGTCATGGGCTTTGGGGGCGGGGGGTGGGGGGGGAGTGAGCTACCTTCTGGAGGCAGTTCCTGTGGATTATAGAGGTGTCAGGGGTTCGAGGCAGCATGAATTCATGTGGTAGGGAGCTCCCATGGAGTTTGCAAGCCTTGGCCATTCAGAAATCCCCAGCAAGAGGAACCCTCCTTAAAATAAAGTACTTTTATTGATTTCAGAGAGGAAGGGAGAGGAGGGAGAGAGAGAAACATCCATGATGAGAGAGAGTAATCCATCGGATGCCTCCTGCACGCCCCACACTGGGGATCGAGCCTGCAGCCCACCCAGGCCTGTGCCCTGACCAGGAATCAAGCCGTGACCTCCTGGTTCATAGGCCGACGCTCAACCACTGAGCCACGCCGGCCGGGCAAGAGGAACCCCCTTTATAGAGCATCCCCACGTGCTGTGGACCGTAGGATCAGCCTGCTCACATGATGTCCATGAGCCGCTGTTCTCTGATCTTTTGACTCAGACGTTAATGGAGTGGGTGTGGAACGAAATGGGCCACCCTTTCCTTTTTGCTGAAACCATTCACCCTGTTGCATGGGAGCGCCACGTGAAGACGTAAACCGTGCTTTGTTTTGTGTGCAGCCAAAGAAAATGTTCAAGAACATCCCTTTCCTGGGCAAGTTGGAGGTAAACCGTGTAGAGGCGCTGGCTGCGCACAGGGGGACCCGTTAGCACATTTGATGGCTTTTGCAGAGAGATGACCGCTGTTGCTATGGGGACGCTGATGGCTGCGGCCATGGCTGGGCTAGCCTGGTCACCTGGAAGAGAATGATGCCTTGGTCACCGGGCCCTGGGCTGTCACCCACTTAATCTGACCCCGTCTCCGGCTGAGCTCGCTTGTGTGGGCTGCATGGCTGCGTTTTAGTTTATGAGCAGATGCCCCAGGCCGTGCTAGTGTCTCCTCAGCGCAGCCAGGCTGAGGCACAGCGTAAGGAAACACGGTGTCCTCACCCAACGACCGGAAGCCTTCACTTTCCCGCATGCAAACGCCTTCCCCGAGGGAAGACACTGCTTCTCTCAGTCGTTTGTTCTTGCGTTTTGGCTTTGAGCTTCATCGCCTCCCTCACCTTTAGGCTTTGACGGCTCATGGTCTGTGACCTCCTGAGCCAAGCATGGTGTGTGCATGTCACCAGCGCCCCAGGACGGCCGGGCCGTTTGCGATCGTGCGGCCTGTGGCCCACCTCCCCCTCCATCTCGGAGTCGCCGGGGCTGGTTTTCCACCAGGAGTGACTCCACTAGGACTCGGCCTGTCAGCCTGTCACAGGCTCTCCTTCCCACGACAGGAAGTGCCTGTCGGGGTCGAGGCCTCCACCTTGATTTGTGCTGTTCTGTCCTTGCCCTCATGGGACTTTGGTTTACAAGTGCCATTAAGCGTGTATGTGCCGTCGTTACGCCTGTCCGTTCCCAGGAGAGCGCTGAAGCTCTGCCTCTCGCTCAGGGGAGCAGTGCAGGTGTGGGGATGAACGGAGGTTTCAGGATGTGAATTGATAGATAGGCAATACCAAGTCCCACCTTTTATGTACTCTTTCTTTACCCTTTTAGAAAATATATATTTTTATGGATGTCAGAGAGGAAGGGAGAAGGAGAAAGAGAGAAACATCAATGATGAGAGACAATCATGGATCGGTTGCCTCCTGCACACCCCCCACTGGGGATCGATCCCACAACCGGGGCATGTGCCCTTGACCAGAATTGAACCCAGGACCCTTCAGTTTGCAGGCCGATGCTCTATCCACTGAGCCAAACCGGCTAGGGCTCTTTCCCTTGTTGAACATGACCGTACCTGTCATGAAGGTCACCACTGGCCCTTGTTGGTCCGTTTGTGGTAGCCTTGGCCGTATTCCCCCTTGCTGAGCATCAGACATCCAACAGACCGAGCGCTACGAGGCTAGTGCCTGGGGTCCCCTTGCTACCGCTCTCAGCCTGTGCTTCACACACATCCCGTGCTCCGCTCTCGCTGATAGAGCAAACACGACCTCCCTCAGCCCCCGTAACCCGCGCCAGACTCAGCAAACGGGTGCCCAGGCTGCGGTCCACAGACCTGTTTTGGGGCATGAGTGCTATTTAAAAATTTAGTGCCTGGGGTCCCCTTGCTACCGCTCTCAGCCTGTGCTTCACACACATCCCGTGCTCCGCTCTCGCTGATAGAGCAAACACGACCCCCCTCAGCCCCCCTAACCCACGCCAGACTCAGCAAACGGGTGCCCAGGCTGCGTGCAGTCCACAGACCTGTTTTGGGGGCATGAGTGCTATTTAAAAAATTGGAATTTATGCTCAACACCAGCAGTTTATTTGTTTGTGTGTTTGAGACAGAGAAACATTGATGTGAGAGAGAAACACTGATCAGTTGCGTCCAGTACGTGCCCAACCCGGGATTGAACCTGCAACTGGCAAAATGTTTTGTGATAAAAGGAGCTCTGTTATGCCTGCACATTGTCATTCTAGTGCCAGACGGTCTTCTGCTGAACGGTGTTGCTGGTGTAAGGCTGGGGCAGGGTGACCCAGGAGAGGGAGGCCTGGCTGGGGCAGGGAGGGAAGTTAGACAGCACACACCGTTTCCCCGTTACCGTTCACCGGGAGTTGGTTTGCGTTCCTCAAGTAGGAATGGGTCTGACCTGGGAGATACTGGCCTGGCTTCACAGAGCAGATATTTCTCGACTGGAGTGCTTTTGAGATTAACTGAGAAAAACACCTGAATTCCAAAAACGTCCAAGCAAGGTAAATGCTAGCAGTTTTAAAACTATTCCTAAGAGTCAGATAGAAAACTTATTAAACAGGTCAGTTACTGTAAGGTCAGTTGGTGACTATAGTTAATAACACTGTATTGTATATTTGAAAGTTGCTAGGAGTACGTCGTCCGCCCCCGCCCCCCCCCCCCCCCCCCGCCCGGGAGGCAGCGCCCAATAGGAGAGATTCTAAAGTAGTTAACATTTCTAGGTAGGTGCTTATGGGGAATTTTTAAAAAAATCTGAAGTCATTTCTGAAAGATTCGAACGTTTAGGAAATTCTCCTAAAGTTCTTACCATTTTAACTTGTATCCTATTTAGTTAAAAAAATTTGTAGTTATACAGTGAGAAGGAATGTCCTTGCTCCCTTTTTATTTCCCGGGGCCCTTGGGAAGCCGGCCTGGCATGGGACTGTGGTGCTTGGAGGGGGACCCTGCCTCTCAGGGGCCAGGCGCTAAGGAGGGTGCTGTGTTCGGAACACGTGGGGCTTGGTTATCAAAGACACGCCCGGCCCGGGCGGGAGGGCTCTGGACTGGGCTCCCTGGGGCCCGGGTGAAAGCCAGAATGTACAGGGCCTTCTTGGACAACTTCTGAGTTGGACGGGTTTCTCCTCCTGGTAGGACCTGAGGGTAAAGCAAGCATGTCAAACTCAAAGGCGAACACGGGCCAAATAAGCGAGGCATGCAGCTGTGGCGGCGGGTTTGACGTGCTGGGGGTAAAGGCAGGCAGGTCGCTGGGCTCCGTTCCATCCCCAAGGAGTCTCTAAGCGCAGATATTCTGTGTGTGGTGGTCAGTGTGCAAGGTATCGCAAGCCGCTTTACCATCCGTGTGAGTTTATGGATAAGTATTGTTACGTGTCTGTACTATGAAAACCGTTCGTCAAAATACTATAACTTTGGGTCCTGGCTGGTGTGCTCAGTGGTTAGAGCGTTGGTCCTCGCACTAAAGGGTCTTGGGTTTGATTCCCGGTCAAGGGCACAGACCTGGGTTGTGGGTTCGCTCCTCACCCCTGGTTGGGGTGTGTACGGGAGGCAACCAGTGGATGTGTCTTTCACACATCGATGTCTCTCTTTCTCTCCCTTCCTTCCCCTTCCACTCTCTTGAAAAAACAATGGAAAAAATATCCTCTGGTGAGAACTGACAACAACAAAAATACTATAATGTTGGAAATATGAGGAAATTGAGGATGTTATTGAGCTCCACGTTGTATGTTTGAGTTCTGATTAATACTTTGACTTCGTTTTAACAGGCCCTCTTATTTGCACAGTTCCTTTCCTGTTTGGCATGTGCACACACACCATGTTGTTTATTTTGGGTTTAGCTGAATGCTTGAGCATGCAGCATATTGCCTGGCATACAGCAGGTGCTCAATACCTGTTTGAACCCGTGAATGTAATACATGGCTGTTGTATTAAGATGTCTGCTGATAGAATCCTGTTGATGGCTCATCTTTTTCTATTGACCATTTATTTCCAGATCATGAAGAGGGGCTTCGTACAGGACACGTTAGAAGGAAGGCATGAGTGCGGTGCTCTCGTTAACGTGGGCACGTGCACATGTTAAAGAGGGAAATGGACTGGCGGGCACATGTCAAAACCGACTATCTAATGTGCACGGCATAGACCGTTGTTCTGGGCGTGTGTGTGGGGGTGTGTGTGGGGGTGTGTGGGACGTGAAAAGGACTTTACATGGAAGATCCTGAGTAAATCTTCAGAAATGGTTTCTCTGATAAAGATGCTAGTTAGTAACTCAGTTATTTCCAATGTATGCGTCTCCTTTCTTGGGAAGACACATACGTGGTCCAATGCCAGTTCTTCCATCGTGATGAGCTGCAAAGAGTCCGAGCTGGGAACCCTCCACTCCCGACACTCACGTCCAAACGCCATAGAAACCCAAGGTGTGTCGGTTCCCCAGGGCCCGTCGCGGAGAGGTGAGAGAGGGTGTGTCTCGCATCTGTCCACCTGTGGCTGCGGCCACCCTAACTCTCTTTCCCTCTCTCTCCAGTCATACAGTTTATCAAGAAAGAAAATAGTGCATTACACCTGCTTTGACCAGCGGAAAAGAGCAAACGCAGCATTTTTGATAGGTGCTTATGCTGTAAGTACTTGTGGCGATTGCTCGGGTGATGGGGTGCTGACGCTGTCCTGGATCGGGCCCCGCTGTTCGTGGCCTGGGGAGGGGGGGGGTGGGGATTCTCCGCAGCTTGGGAGCTGATCGGATGGAGAGAGTGGACCTGGTACCGATGGGCTGTTCCCTCTTGGGTTTTATTTTCGTAGCTGATGGCAGAATCTCAGAACTGCGGTGTGTGGCTGGGATTCCAGGGCTGTGCAGGCGTTATAACAAAAAGAATACCCAGAGAGGGATATTTCCAGAAAAAATTATATGAAAAGGCTGTTGAAATGTTCCTTTTTTGGATGAAAGGAAATTCTAGAGTGAATGGGAAGGCTGATGATCATTGTTTTTACCAGCCCAGTTATTCCTCTATCGAGGAGGCAAACCAATCAGAAACCCTGCGTGTAGTACAGCTTTCCCAAAAACTAGATGAAACTTTCCAAAGCTCATTTGGATGAGACGTTTCGCCCCCGGTGAGCACTGAAAGGTAACATGCCTGCGACCGAGTTTGGATGTGACCGTTTCTAGACTTTTCTGTAACATGCTGGGCTGGGGCAGGATCTTGGAAGACAAGCATCCGGACTTCAACCACATCTGCGACCTCGAATAGCTTTTTAGGGACGAGGGATGGCCAGGTAGGAAGATGCTGGGGGAAAGGCAGGGACAGAGGCGTCACTGCCCGGCGTCCTTGGGGAGGGTCGGCGCCCCCTGAAGACCCTGACGAGGGAGGCTGGGCTACTGGACACCACACTGCCCCGGGGACCACAGCCGCAGGGGGAAGCCCAGCCGTGCGCGGGGGAGACCCAGCCGTGGCAGGTGCAGGCTGAGCACGGTGACCAGGTGATGGGCGGACGCAGCCTGGGAACGAGGACCGAGATGCCAACTCCGCCCTCTGACGGGGCAGCCGGAAGCCTCGTGCCGTCCCTCCTGGTCCCTCTGTCCCCCCCTGTCTGGGCACAGCCTGGCTGTGGGTACAAGGAGTCCTGAGCACGAACCAGAAAAACGCTTGCTCGCGTGGCTCTGGGATGCTGGGGAGAGTCCACTATCGCCCAGGCTTCATTCGGTTTCTTATCTGTAAGACGAGAGGGTGGATATGATGGCCTCTACGTTTCCTCCCAATTCCGAGGAGACTGGGATGATTTGCAGCGCCAGCCAGGCTGCTGCTTTTATTTTCAGAGCAGCCCCGACAGGCAGGCCGCTGGCGGGAGCGTCCAGGGGTGCGGGAGCCGAGTTTGCAGGCATCTCCCCCGCTCACTTCCCGGGGCTGGTTACAGCTCACCTGAAACTGACCGTGGCTGTGTGTTCTTCCTTCTCGCCACAACCCTCTTATCCCCCAGTCCTTGCCTTTTGCTGTTGTTAATCCTCACCCCAGGGTATTTTCCCATTGGTTTATAGAGAGTGGAAGAGAGGGGGAGAGACAGAGAGAGAGAAAAACATCAAAGTGAGAGAGACACATCGATTGGTTGTCTTCCCCCTCCAATCTCCCCAACCAGGGCCAGGGATGGAGCCTGCAATGCAGGTATGTGCCTTTGACTAGAATCGAACCCGGGACCCTTCTGTCTGTGGGCCGACGCTGAATCCACTGAGCCAGACCGGCTAGGGCAGTAAAGAAGTGGACTACCATCAGCAACGTGCCGACTCAGAGGAGACTTGTCACATTGATTTCTCTCCTTCCTCTTCTCACTCATCAGTTTGGGCAGCTCTGCCTCCAAACATATCGCTGTCGCATGGTTGTTGCTGTCAGCCAGCCGGCCACGGCCGCTGCTCACCTGGACGCCAGCACAGCGCCCCACCCCTCCTCACATTCCTTCCTTTATCCAGGGCCAGAGTGACCCTTCACAAGCATGAATGGAATCGTGTCACTGCCCTGTTTCAGCTCTGTCTACGATGCTCAGTTCGTGGCATAAAGTCTGATCTCTTTACCGGTGCCATCGAGGTCCTCCCTGAGCCGGCCTGTCTGCCTCTGATCTCCTTGCTCACCGTCCTCCCGTCAGCCCTGGCGGCGGGCTCAGGTGGTTGGGCGTCGCCCAGTACAGGGAAAGGTTGTCGGTTTGATTCCCAGTCAGGGCACATGCCAGGCTCCATCCAGCTGACCGATGTTTCACTCGCACATCAATGTCACTCTCTCTCTCCAAGTCAATTTAAAAATCTTTTAAAAAGACAGATGCTCCCATCCCAGTGGCCCTCCACCCATGGGATCCGGAGTGTGCTCCCAGCAGAAGGCCTTGCCAGTTCTGTTCCCACCGGCAGTGTCTTCACCCCCGCCCTCTGCGTTCCTGTTTCCTTCAGATGGTCCCTCCCCAGAGAGCCTTCTCTCAGGTGTTCCCTGCTCCCCTGCCTCCAGCCACCCTCTGCCCTTGGCTGTTTCATGTTCTCTGTCACACCATGTCTGGAGTTATCTGATTCATGTGTGTATTTACTTGTTGATTATCTCTTTCCCGGACTAGAAGGCAGGGACCTTGTTGGTTTCATGCATTGCTGTGTGTGGGAGGTGATAAAATATTCAAAAAGGGGCTAGGGCCAGGCATTCTCCGCTGGACGCTGGCCACCATGGAGCCTTCCTGCCACACTGAATCATGGGACGTCCGGGGTGGGGGGCGTCCCAGGAGAGAGATGAGGTGCGGCCAGCGTGGAAGGGGTGGGGTGCGGCCAGGCTGTGGAACGATGGGACTACTTCAGTGTCTGAACACGGAGCATCGAGCTTAGAACTGCGCCTGGCACATAGTAGGTGCTTCATAAACATCTAGTGAATGAATGGAAGATGGAATGACAAAATAGGAAAGAAGGAAGGATGGTCACGTCAGAGGAAAACTCTGAAAACGATCAAATTGGATGTAAAGTCTAGTTAACACGAGTCATCACACATAGTTACATGCTTTTTTCTTGCGATGATTCCTAACCAGTGTTAAGTGTATGGCGCCGTGGAATTCACATTCACAGTGCGGTGCAGCCACCAGACCTTCCTTCCTTCCTTCCTTCCTTCCTTTCTTTTTAAAAATATGTTTTTATTGATTTCAGAGAGGGAGAGAGAGAGAGAGAGAGAAACATCAATAATGAGAGAGAATCATTGATCGGCTGCCTCCTGCACGCCCCCTCCTGGGGATTGAACCCACAACCCGGGCATGTGCCCTGACCGGGAATGGAACCGTGACCTCCTGGTTCATAGGTCAACGCTCAACCCCGGAGCCACACCGGCCGGGCCACCAGCCCTTGCTCTGGGTGTGCCATCGCCTGGCAGCCAGGCATCTCCTGGGCCAGGGCCGTGCTGTGGTTTCCTGCCGGATCGTGAGTGTGAGTCTGAAACATATGCCTGTGCTCCTGTTTCCTCCCCTCTGCGTGGGGGAGGGCCTTCTTATGTTTGACCTCGGGGCCGTCATGAGTGTGAAGAAGATGAAATTGAGGTTGTGGTGCCCAGTAGGAAACCCACAAACCCCTCTGGGTGGGCGATGCCGCAGCCAGGGCTGACCGTGACCGCCCGAGAGCGAAGTGAGCAGGACAGACGGCAGGCATTGCAGGGAGCCCCCCTCCCCCGTGAGCACCTCTGCTTCCCTAGCGTGACCTTGAGCTCCTGGAGCTGGAGGGCTCAGAGGTGACCAAGACACCAACTTTGAAACAGGCCAGTCGGAGGAAGACAAGGGCCATCGGATTTCACGTAGATGTGGGATCTGCTGAACAAAATAAGCTAACGAAGTGGAGACAGACTCATGGATACAGAGAACAGACTGGCAGCTGTCAGAGGGGAGGGGCTGGGGGCTGGGTGAGAAGGGTGAAGGGATTAAAGCAAAGAAAAAAGAAAGACATGCCCGACCGGTGAGGCTCAGTGGTTGAGCGTCGACCTATGAACCAGGAGGTCACGGTTCGATTCCTGGTCAGGGCACATGCCCGGCTAGTGGGCTCCGATCCCCAGTGCGGGGCGTGCAGGAGGCAGCCGATCTATGATTCTCTCTCATCACTGATGTTTCTCTCTCTTTCTCCCACTCCCTTCCTCTCTGAAATTGATAAAAATATATGTTAAAAGAGAAAGATTCGTAGACACAGACAACAGTGATTGCCAGAGGAAGGGAGGGCAAATGGGATAAATGGTGGCGGAAGGAGACGTGACTTGGGGTGGTGAACACAATGCAACATGCATTTGACATATCGTAGGATGGTACACCTGACACCCGTGTAATTTTACTCACCAGTGTCGCCCCAACAAGTTCAACATGGTGTTTCTCTCCCAGGACTCAATACCGAGTGCAGCTTCAGGGTCAGGGTGCTTGGGCACCAGAGCCCCCCAACCCCCCAGCATTTTGAAGAAGGTGGCTTTAAAAATTACAAGCACGGGTCAACCAGGCCCTTGCCGCCGGCTGCAGGACCAGGTCCTCACTGGCTACTGTGCTGTTTTCAGTTCACAGACTGCAAACGGGGGTCAAGGGGGGCGGTCAGGCCGTGACGACCGAAGGGGGAGAGCGTGTGTCCGAGGAGCAGTTACATTACATGCCCTGGTTTGGCTTTAAAAATTAAATGCAGAGCCCGGCCGGCGTGGCTCAGTGGTTGAGCATCGACCTAAAAAAAAAAAAGGCATTTGCCTCCCGAGTTTATAGACAGCCACCGAGCGGATGTCAGCGCGGTGCCTGTGGCCTTTCCGGGGAAGGGAGGAGAGGCACATGGCCGGGCAGCTTCCGGTCCCAGTTCCTTCCTTTTAAAGCTTGGCCGGCGAGAACGCTCCTGTGACCACTGCTTGCCAGTGGGCTGGACGGGCGCTTACCCTGGCCGGTATTTTTGGTGCTTTAAGGAGGTCAGGCCCCTAAAATCATTCAGACTCTGCATTTGGAAGCTCTGAGTCTGCAGCTGGGCGGGGGGAACGACACTATCTTTGATTCCGTTTAGCTGTGGGCTAGGAAAATGCTTTTCATCCGAGGAAGCGTTGTTTCTCACGTTTAACGGAATACATACATCTTCCCAGGAATTTTTGGTTTCTGTTCTCCCTTTGGGTCCTGATA